TATACAGTGGTTGAGTAGAACAGGAGAAAGAGGAGACTAGCGACCCGCAACTGGATGAAAAGAGAGAGAAAGATGAGGTCCAAGAATCGTCTAAGAAAGTGTAATGTGTAATCCGAAACCAGTCGGCTCTTTAATTGTAATATTACTAAATGTATATAACACTATATTGCTTGTTTATACTAATATAGGGTAGCATAGGGTGAGGATGTGGGTTTCTGTAAATGTGATTTCCTCCCTTACCACATTTCGCACCCGCGCCCTCCTGCCAAGCCCGGTGAACAGTGTGCCCCTAGCCAATGAAGCAACGATAGAGGAAGTAATTCAGTCGTTTCCTTAGCCCTACCCCTGTGACTGCAGTACAGAAGGTGACAGCGGGGATACCTCCACGCTCCCCTGTAACCACGGACTAACTGGTGGCATAACAATCAGAAACAAAGTTCCAACTGACAATGTTGTACTGGATGGGATGCACCCAGGGGGTATGAGTGACAAGACGGACCTAATTTAGGGATAATTCTTTACCACTATATCCATTAGAATTGGGCCATCACACAAAACTGAACTCGGTTCTTGGTTATGAAAACCGGGCGTCTGTCAACCACAGCACTACCAGTTAGTTTTTTAGTTCGCTTAGTGAGGGGTGGAGTTCAACTGGGTTCACTTGGCACGGCGGTCCCTGATTTGCCTATTGTAGCCTGCCCCGGGTGATTATGATGAAGGACAAAGTGGCGATGGGACAGGTTTTCTCCGAATACTTCGGTTTCCCCTGCCAATCTTCATTCCACTAATTGCTCCACAATCACCCTCACCTATCATCTGGGGCTGGTACAATAGGCCATAAGTGGCCGCAGTACAAGGGACTTAGTCCCACCCCACTAGCAATAAAAGAAATACGTCACACCTTCGGTAGACAACATTATGAAAGAAAACTCCTGTTTGTTAACAAGATCTCGGGTATGGCTACTTTGGTACACATCATGCGTTAAAAGCAATATCGTAACATTCTAATAATGAAGTAACGATGTAGTTACTGCATGATGATGAAGTAACCTCGGGTATGTGTTAGACACACTATAAGTTCATTTATTTAGTGAGGAGTTATTGCATATATGCTCACAGAGCAATAAGCGGACATCGCGGACTTTAATGGTGACTTATTGTTGCGAAAAGGTCCTAAAAATACCTTTAATGTCATTTCGTATCCACAAGATGGTGTTGAATAGCCATAACGATCCAACACGAATAAGATAATACGTCAAATTCACAAGAAGATTTTTAATGAACTTACCTGTAAGATAAAATATATAGTTCCAGCTGCAAAGCATATAAAGGCTCCCAGCATGTGGACAACAATAACGTTAGATTCCTGGAAGTTGGCCACTATATCAAGGCCGGCACAGGAAGCAAGGCCGAAGGCCAGAGTCACTTTATTGAATCTGTGGCTTACTCCGTCCCCCGGCGTAAGAGTTTGTATACAGTTCTTTATTTCCAGGTATTTTATATATACACAGACAACAGCTAGAAGAGGAGACAAAATAAACACATGATTACTTAAAAATTAGTACGTCCATTCGAAGTCTACCGGGCCGGCGAGAGAGCACAGGTGAACCAAGCGGTCAAGAGGACCGTTTTAGGAGCGGCATATTTTAAAAGATTTTTTTCCTTTCTGTTCTTTTAAATTGATTTCTTCCAATCTTTTAAGTAATAAGACACTAATGACGGATGTCATCCTACTTTTTTCCTTGGCACTACAACCCCAGTGGGCCTAGGCCTACCTCCATGAACTTCTTCGTTCACTTCGGTTTTTCTAGATCTTACACATTTGGTAGGACCCCTTGGGCGGGTGATCAGCTCGTCGCAAGGCCTCTACCTGCACACAAACACAAGAAAACGCACACACACAAACTAAACATCCATCCCCTGAGTGGGATTCGAACCCATGATCCCGGTTTCCAAGCGAGCGAAGACAGTGCATGCCTTAGACCGCTCGGCTACCGTGACCGTTATTTCATCCTACTACCTGGAAGAAATTTTGAGAAAGTTGACTCAGCAGTTTGCTAATTTGGATATTAACAGGATTGTGTTCCATCTGTTTCACATTGTACTGAATTTACGCAGTGGAATTACAAGCTAGAGTGCTAAACTGGAGCAACATATATATTTAGGATGGACGTATATTTAATTAATTATCACCACACTGAAGAATGTCTGTAAAAAATGTAAAAGTAAGTAAGTAAAGTAAAGGTATCCCTGCAACAGGCCGTGGAGGTTCCCACATTTTTCTAGAAAATCGGCTCATAGATTTCGGCAAGTTTGTCAGCCTTGCGCGCCAGCCGCCCTTTACTCCCAAGAATATTCATGGTACTCATTTCTGTTAGAGGCTGAGTCGACCCCTGGGCCATAGTGCGGCTGAAAGGATTAGGTAAGTTGAAAAAAATCCAATGTCCTCATCGGGAATTGAACCCGCGACCTTCCGGCTTGTAGCATAGTGCCTCAACCAACTACGCTATCTCGTGCCCCCCGTAAAAAATGTGAAGATGATAATGATATATAACATTCTTGTAATTATTAGCAAATACAGAAAGTCTGTGTAAATCTTTGTACTTAAAATTAATGTATAATATGGAATATGATAATATGATATAAACCAAAATGAAATTCTCGCGATATTTCTATGGATATCTTTCCAGTATTGTTGTGATCATACTTATGAACATTTGAAAGCACTTATTTTTTTTTCAGAAGTCTTCATACGTTGACCCTGAACTTTTNAAGTTGAAAAAAATCCAATGTCCTCATCGGGAATTGAACCCGCGACCTTCCGGCTTGTAGCATAGTGCCTCAACCAACTACGCTATCTCGTGCCCCCCGTAAAAAATGTGAAGATGATAATGATATATAACATTCTTGTAATTATTAGCAAATACAGAAAGTCTGTGTAAATCTTTGTACTTAAAATTAATGTATAATATGGAATATGATAATATGATATAAACCAAAATGAAATTCTCGCGATATTTCTATGGATATCTTTCCAGTATTGTTGTGATCATACTTATGAACATTTGAAAGCACTTATTTTTTTTTCAGAAGTCTTCATACGTTGACCCTGAACTTTTAAAAAACACATTACATTTACAATAGATTCTGAAAATTACTCACTTAGGAAAGCTGCAAAGTTAATAACTTGTCCAAATATGCAACTCTCGGGCGAGAAACTCCCCGTTTCGCTTATNTGTGAAGATGATAATGATATATAACATTCTTGTAATTATTAGCAAATACAGAAAGTCTGTGTAAATCTTTGTACTTAAAATTAATGTATAATATGGAATATGATAATATGATATAAACCAAAATGAAATTCTCGCGATATTTCTATGGATATCTTTCCAGTATTGTTGTGATCATACTTATGAACATTTGAAAGCACTTATTTTTTTTTCAGAAGTCTTCATACGTTGACCCTGAACTTTTAAAAAACACATTACATTTACAATAGATTCTGAAAATTACTCACTTAGGAAAGCTGCAAAGTTAATAACTTGTCCAAATATGCAACTCTCGGGCGAGAAACTCCCCGTTTCGCTTATATAAGGGAATCCAGGTTCAACATGGTTGTTATGGACTGCTATAGCATACCTGTTGACAGAAAAGTGATTCATTACTGTCCAAACTCCCTACATTGCAGAGTAATGGAATGAAACACAAATGCGTCCCAAGAGTTTCGTTTATTTACTCAGAAGATTCTATGAAAATTATGGCCTTCATGGAGCTCCAAAATGAATCACCGTGTTAAGAAAGCCCACTACTTGGCCCGATTCTGAAACAGGTGGATCCAGTCCACACCATCACATTCTGTTCCTTGAAGGTCCGTGTTAACACCATTGCCCAATCTTCCCCTAGCTTTCCCCTGTGGTGTCTTCCGGTCTGGTGTTCCGCATTAAGTTTTGTATACATTTCTAATCCTCTCCACTCTTCCTGCGTGTTCTGTATGTCTCATCCGCACTGCTTTTTGTGAATATTTCAAAATAAAGCTCTTTGTCAGAAGTTACGTACGAAATCTAAAGTAAAAGAAAGGTAAAGGTATCCCTGTAAAAGGCCGTGGAGGCCTATAGGGTTGTGAGACGTTGAGGTTCCCATATTTTCTAGAAAATCGGCTCACAGATGGCGGTGAGTTTGTCAGCCTTACGCAACTGCCGCCCTTTACCCCCAGGAAGATTCCTGGTACTCATTTCTCTCAGGCTGAGTCGACTCCAAGGACATAGTACGGCTGGAAGGATTAGGTAAATTGAAAAGAACGACCTCATCGGAAAATCTAAGGACGCTTGTAATTTATTATATCCAACTGTGTTAATAGTTGATCCATTGATTATTAACATGACATAGGAAAACTCACCTTAGAATTTCAACTTCCGTATGTCTCTAAGGTACAAGCAAATTTCTTCCTGTCTTTGCGCAAAGTGCCGTATTTTTCCATTGAATTGAGCAACACGTACTTCGAGCAAGCTGTGACGCACGAGAATTACAGCCTTTTATGAGGACGACGTAATGAGTGCACACCCTATCGCACAGGTACATGACGTCACTTTAACTTAGGGATCTTCATTGGTTACTGTCCTGCCGAAATCTCTAACAGACGCGTAGCTCTATTTAGAAAAAAGTATCTGAGTTTTGCTGAACAGATCGTGGCCGCGCGATAGCTCAAGCAGTTAGTCGCTGGCTTCCCACCGCAGCGGCCCGTGTTCGATCCCGGGTCTCGTCAAGTGGGATTTGTGGCGGGCAAAGTGGCGCTGGGGCGGGTTTTCTACGAGTACTTCGGTTTCCCATGCCTATCTTCATTCCACCAAATTTTCCATCGTCATAATCACCCGGGGCAGACTACAATAGGCCACTCAGTGGTCGCCGTGCCGAGTGGACCCACTTGGACTCCACCACCACTAGCATTTTTTTTTTTTTTTGCTGAACAGATTGCATCTTGTTTCGGTTTTGACATTAATTCCAGAGGCCTTGTTTTGACTTTAGTCCGGTGTTATTTGTCCCGATGATTTCGTGGTTTAAAGAGTACTGTCTTCTAGGATATAACTCCGTGTACTCCGTTGAAAGTCGTCCGAAGTTTCGAAGGAATAAATGGCCTCCATCTTCAGGGTCGAATAAGCCCAGTAAGATACTAGCGAAAAGACAGTTGCAAGCAGCTGAAAGTCGGTTGACTTTCAGCAGAATACACAACATTATATCTCAGAAGATAGTACTGTTCAGAACAACCCTTGTGAGAACATAAAATACTACAGGTCATGGCTTTCCTGAGGTTCACGAGACAAACGCCTTGATGTCACCTTTACCCTCGAAGGCCCCCATATGAATATTTTTACATTTCAATCCAGATCAGTGTAACCTACCATCTGTTCTCTAGGGGCTTCAAAATTGGAATTCAAAACAGATATTATATTTCAATATCCTGTTGTATTGTGACATCATTTTTAGATTGTAAGTATGCCGTCAATAATGCAACAATAACCTTATATAAAATACAATAATAATGTTTGTTAAATACTTGAAAATGTCATTAAACTTACGTGTATACATTCATTTTTCTTGCTACACATTTCGGCCACACATTGACCATTATCGGGCAATATTTTTTGTTACTTGGGAGACCACTGCGCTGTACACTTTGTCTTCTGTGCCCTTAGGTACATCGTTATTTTTGTTGTTAGTTTCTTTCGTAGGATATTTCCATTGTACATTTTCTGGCGGTTATTTCAGTCTTTTCATGTCGTTTACTTTGTTGCGCGTGCTTTGAGTGCATACACAACAAAGTAAACGACATAAAAATACTGTGTCTTTTATATAAGATTATTGTTGCATTATTGACGGTATACTTACAATCTAAAAGTTCAAAACAGATAGTTCTCCCATTGTTTTTATGAGTGAAGCTTAGTCCCTCACTACAAGAAAGAAACAGTTTCACAGTGTTCAGGAATGGATTTCTCTGGGGAATATTCGGACCTAAGAGATGTAGTAACAGGAGAATGGAGGAAATGTCATTCTGAGGAATTTCATGTAGCCTTGACCAGATATTAATAGGATAGTGAATGGTAGAATGATGAGATTAACGGGGGAACCGAGCATTCGACGGACAGGTAAGAAGTGTATACAGATTTTTACTGTGGACCTAGAAATAAGGTGAGCCGGGATAACTCAGTTGGTATAGTGACAGGCTACGGGATGGAAGGTCAGCTTTCGATCCCCGGCAGAGGCAAGAGATTTTTCTGCTTCGCAGCGTCCAGACCGGCTCTCGGACCCACCCCTTCCCAGGGGTTAAAGCGGAAGGGATGTGAAGTTGACCACTCACCTCCACCTAGCTCAGTGGCCAAGACTATTGGAGCTATACCTCCGTAACTCTTATGTCTTCATAGCGCGGCGTTTACTTAATTAAGCACAGAGGCAACTTCACGATTACCTTTACCGAAAAGCAAGAGACAATTTAGGAGACAACGCTGAATGAGACACTGCCATGGAGACATATGAGGGAATGAAAGTACAGCTCCACCATCCTTGACATCGGCACTAGATGGAGATGAGTGGTCAGTTTCACGCTCCGGCGGCTTTATCCTCGGATAAATAGCCCCCGGTACACTTTGGATTAGAAGCTGGGTGGGCCCCAGAGCCGGTCTGGACATTGTGGAGAAGAGAAAAATTTTGCTCCTACCGGGAATCGTACCCCGGCCGTCCAGCCCCTATCCCGTCTCTATACCGACTGAGCTATCCCGTGAATGAGGAGGTAATAGTAAAATACCGTCATATCTTAACGGAATGTGGGCTTGACTCAGCTGGCACACGATAGGTTCCAGCAGCGCACGTAATAAATCTTCAGCGAATTGATAACCAGTTTGACGATTATCAGATTTTCTAAATGGACTTATTCATGTATTTGGTGGGCTTATGATTCTTATCACAATTGTATGTAAAAGAGACCTATATGGAAAGTGAAACACTAAGAAAATAAGGAATATACATTTGAATTGCCACATTCCAAGGCTGCCTGTTATATAGAATAGTTAGTTCTCTTTTGAAAAAATACTGGGGATCCTTGACTGGACTCAGGCAAGCAAAGGGACTCATTCGAGGACCCTCTGCTGAAAGAGCGAAGGAACTGTTGAAGTTAAACCGGAACCAGCTACGATGGGTGGTGGGACTACTTACAGGACACTGTCACCTCAAAGGACACCTCTTCAAACTGGGACTAAGTGATAGTCCCACTTGTGAGAGGCGTCAGGAAGAAAATGAAACAGCCACACATATCCTGTGTGAATGTGAGGCCTTAACTTATTTAAGATTACGTCACTTGGGTCAGTACTTTATGGAACCAAGTGACTATTTCGACGCCCCCACGTACAAAATCCTGTCAAAAGGGGAAGCACAATAGATCACTGTAGATCACGGTCAAGGGCCGAGAAGGCCTACCCCTTATACATTCATTCATTCATTCATTCATTCGTATCTTTTGAAAGCTTAGTCACTAGTTGAAATGATCATGGTTTCTATATGTTAACAAGAATAATTATACTTACGAGGCGAAGAATGAAACGGGCACTGCTACGAACACAATTAAGGGAAGCAAGTGTATCCTTCTAAAGGCCATGATTATTCTGTGAACAAATTAAATTCAATGTTCATTAACTATAAATACTTGTTCGTGCAACGATTGTTCTCGAAATAAACGAACACAAACATCCTATGAATCAAAAACCTTACATACGATATTAAACCCTGTCAAATATTAATTTCCTACCTTGAAATCACAGCTTAATAAAGTAATTCTTAGCCAAACAACCTTTGATGGTACATATTAGACATGAATTATATTCAAGAACAAAATGAGCTGTTTAAAGTTTCAACAAAAAACTAACAAAATTAATGTTACGTAGATTTTCTATATTCTTTGCCAGTTATACTGGCTCAGACAAATAAGGTAAACTATTTCTAAAAAGCAGTAAATAGTTTTTATTCATTTAAACAATTTCTGCACAAGGTCACGAATTCTTTCTCTGTTCTTGAGTTATTAACAAACAAGAAATTCTGGGAAGAACTAAGCGCCCACTTTCCTTTCGCTGTAATTTTGGTATCTGTTACGAAAAGAAGAAACAAAACTTCAGTATGTATGCGTAATGAAGCCAATAAAACAATAACGTCTGGAGGGAGGCTCCACTGAGTTGTCCTTAAATAGCATGATACACCTACCAAGTTTCATGAAAATAGATTCAGGTATTCAGCTAATATTAATGGCGTTACCTCAACAACTGCAGTGTTGGTATTACTGAAGAAGGAATTTCTTAAATAAGCCAGTGAGATGACCTCCTATGGCATGACATACATATCGAGTCTCACTAGGACTGGTTCAAGCATTCGAATAATATTAAGTGCGTTACTTCAAGAGCCTGATAGGCTATAGTTTTGGTATTACTGATGCGAGGGGTTTATAGTGTTCATCATTGAGTTGACCTCAGGTGGTATGATATACATACCAAGTTCCATGAAAATTGGTACCGACATTCAAGCAATATTAAGTTTATATATCGGAAATTTGAGAGGCTGTAATGTTGGTATATTTGAACTATGCCGTTGAAACGGACTCGGGTGACATAATATACGTACCAGGTTTCATGACGATCGGTTTAGGCATTTAAGGCATTTAAGTAACATTGCGTTTGTTATCGTGTTGGTATTATTGATTAAAGGGATTTATAAAGTACGCAGTTATATATATATATATATATAATAGTGTAACGTTGGCTGTTCCGACACGAATAAATTGCGTGGGTCTTCGGATTGGAACGAATTCTTTTATTGGACGCTTATTTGTACACAAACTCGTACAATTATTCACTTAGAGCGCTATTACACAGTCAGTACACTCTGGAACTCTTCTGCGAAATCTGAGCACAACCTGCGTCTGTCTCGCTAGAGTCGAATCCAAAAATGTGGGTACAAACTCTTGTGATACTTGTGATCTCAGCTCTCTGAGTCTCTGAGTCTCTGAGTCTGAGTCTCATTTCACGACCGACGGTCAGTAGGCCAGTCTATCTTGGCATAAAGCACCCATCTGGGGCTTGCGACCAGATCTTTATTCCTGTTTGACGGTTACGGTATTGTTTTTTGTGGGCCCCTCTCTGACGGGAGGATGGGTCTACCTTTTGTATATGCTGCTGGTCCTTCCCAGCGCAGTCTTCCTCGGGTTCGAGTCCCTTGATACTCGAGACCATATTTTCCTGTCTCAAATTTGAGCCTTCCCTTTTCGTCACCTCCTCCTAATTTTTTTTTAATTCGCTTAGTGGGAAGTGGAGACCAACTGGGTCCACTCTGCACGGCAGCCACTGACTGGACACATCACAAGACACAGTACACACACACAAAAAAAAAGAGGAAAAACAAATCCCATAGTGGAAGAACCATACAATACGCGAGTTTGTATTAAGACGCATAAGATGAACAAGTTTTAGTGTATACAAATTTTATTATAGTTGATGAAGAATGCACATTTTAATAATTTTATGAAAGACACATAATGGCAAGCAATGCAATATCTTAGCGTAAATAAAGCACCTGAGGATGGCACAATGTTGCCGAAACATTTCGTGAAGTGACATGTGAAACTGAGTGCACTACAAGACGGCCATTACATACACATCATGACTGACTGGCCTATTGTAGCCTGCCCCGGGTTATTATGATGATGGAGAATGTGGTGGAATGAAGATTAACAGAGGGAACCGAAGTACTCTGAGAAAACTCGTCCCAGCACCACTTTGTCCACCACAAATCCCATTTGACGAGCCCCGGGATCGACCCCGGGCCGCCGCGGTGGGAAGCCAGCGACTAACCGCTTGAGCTATGGCACGGTCTCTCCTCCTATTACTCGCAGGGTCACGGTGGAGGTAGTAAATCCCTCCTCCACACGGGTGTGCTGTTCAGCAAAGGATATCACGTACTGTTATCAGGCGTGTTGCGCATGCTTTGCTGTGATATGTATTTACCGGTCAGTTACCTAGCAGTGCTGTGTCAGTTCACCTTACAATATTTTCACTGTTCCTTATAGTGAAGGGCGCCAGATTCTCTGAGCCCTACACCTGGGTAAATGTATTGAGTAGCACCTCGAGAAAAAAGTAGTAGTCATGGAAACTCACTTCAGGTCGAAGCTTCATAAAATTGCCTTTCCAATCCCTGGCTAGTATACTTTAAAACTAGACCGCCTCTGTGTTCTAGTGGTCAGAGTTCAATTCCCGGAGTTACTAGATATTTCGTGAGAAGTAGTGGGTCTGGAATTGGCTCCACTCAGCATCGTGATGATAATTGAGGAGCTATTTTAAGGAAATAGCGGTTCCGCTCTAGAAAACCGAAATTAACGGTCGTGGAGATTCGTTGCGCTGCACACGCTAAAAGTATACACTAACTTCGCCGACAAGTGGCGGTCTCTCGGTCGGTATAAATTGCTTGAGGACTTCAGGCCACGGAGATTTTTTTTTTTTTTTTTTAAATCTCTTGTACCTGTTTTCAAGTGAGAGGAGAGAAGCATTTGGTGTCCTGAGCTAGAGAAAGAAAAGTTTCGAGAAGATATTCAACTAAATTTTTTATCAATCCCTTTTCTTTATTTCCGTTTCTCCATTTCTTTATCCTCTTTTCATCTATGGCTTCATATTCAAACGCCAATTTTTCTTTCTTTCTTTCTTTCTTTCTTTCTCTTTGTGTGATTATTAATGTTGTTACTCTTATTAGTATTCTACATAAGAGGTCAAATGACAATAAGCTCGTATTTTGCATTAGCCAGGTACTGAAATAATAATGGGATACGGTGAGACATTATGTCAGCTGTTCCTAGACTTCTTTACTACGTATGCACACGTAGTAAAGAATAGCAGCGGCACGCACACAGAAAGACTACACAGGATAACACCTATACAGTGTGGAAACAAGAACTAGCCGCTGCAGCACTTCAAACACAGGGCGAATAACCCTAACAATTTTAAAATTTTAAAATTTGGACAAGAATTTAAAGGTTTAAAATTAGAACTAAAGATTTTATTATGGTGCTATTACAATAAACTCAAAATTAACGTGTGTGAAGTAATCTACGGGTGGACAGCTATCAACGAAGTAGAAGTTGATAATGACAGGGAGAGTGTTTTAGATGTTAAATTTTGAACTGGGTGCAGTGTGACAGCGACGTGAGTGTTATACACCTGATGATGGCCGTCTGAGGCCGAAACATGTAGTGTAGGGAGCAAGATCAAAGACACA